GACCGTTGAAAAAAGTTGCACCCTCAAAAGGTGTGCCCAATTTTTCAAAAGGCGTGCCATCAAAAGGCGTGCCCACTTTATCAAAAGATGTGCCATGAAAGGCGTGCCAATTTGTCGGGCGGCAAGAGGCGCGCGATGCGCGTGGCTGGCCCTGGCTATTTAAAATAAGGTTGAAGCGAAGGCTGTGCATACGAGTCTGAAACCTCTGAACGCTCGGAGAGCTTGTCTCTGCAAATCTTGAAACACCTGGAAACCAACCCTTCTCTGAAACACTTAGCAACTCAAAAACATGGCCTCTTCTTCCCGTCCAGCTACCCAGAACCTGCTCACGCTCTTTCCAGAACTGAACGAGCCACAAGAGAAATAACTGGTGCGGTGGCCAGTGAACCGCAACCAAACACCTCTGGTTTGCTCCACTGAACTTTCCGATGCGGTCGGTGGAGCAAAAAATGGCGATGCAAACTGATATTGAGGCTAATCAGTATACTCTGAAGTCATGCGTGGAAACCATGACGGCGGTCACAAATTTGTCGAACCGGCTGCAGAGTAGGACAAATGAGGTGCAGCATTTAAATTCCCAACTGGCTCTGCTCCAACGCATGTATAAGGATGCGCGAGCAGAATAAGCGTGCTGAAAGCAGAAAATAAGGAGCTGAAGCGGAAGCCACCGTGATGTTCCGATTTGGAGGGCCACCATATGCTGAGTAGAGGAGCAGGGGGGAGTGAATGTGCTTGGTGGATTAGGAAGCACAGAGGCAGCACCGTCAAGAACTGTCCAAGACGGAGGCAAAAAGAAGAGACCGGCGGCAGAGTAGAGAAGAAAAATCTCACGGTGCCGATTTGTGTTGGTTTGGTTTTGTTTTTGTTGTGTTTTTTTTTTTTTTTTTTTTGGTGTAAAATGGTGATCGGGGTGAGCCCCGACATGAATAAAATGAATAAAATAAGTTGGTGTGCAGTTCGTCTTCTTCCTCTTTTTTTTTTTTTTTTTTTTTTTAATGAAAAAAAAAGAAAAAAGAAAAAGAAATAAATAAAATAAAGAAAGAAAGGGGAGTGGTGTCTGTTTGTGCCGTGAGTGAGTGTGTGTCACAAGAAAAAGAGGGAGAGGAGAGGGAGTGGGTGGAGTGCATGTGAAAGGCAAAGAAAAATGGATTAAAATAAATAAAAAAAGGAGAAATGAGTTCAAAAAGGGGCACGGGTAGTGGGAATAATAAGAATAATAATAATAAGAGAAAAAGAAAAAGGTAGACCACGTGGGTCATGTCGCCAATGTAAGATAGTGGATAGTGGATGCACTAACTTTCGCAGAGGATGTAGCCAAAACCTTATTCTTCCAGCCAAGATAAAGAACCCCGTCCCTCTCTGCAAATCTGAAAGTCTCGCTGTAGTCCTTCAAGACTCGGCTAATTTCAAGACTCGGCTAATTTCCACCCTCTCTGCTCCCTCACATGCTATTATGTTTACAATGTCCCGAGCCACAACAGTGCTCTTCTGCACGGATCCGCTGCTTATCATCTCTTGGACGAACGGAATATGCTTGGTGGCCTGTACCTTTGAGGAAATATGCTTGGTGGCCTGCACCTTTGGAGCAGGTGGCGCCGGAGTCGGAGAGGATGAACAGTGGTCCGTCGGTGGAGATGAAGCTGCAGGTGGTGTTGGTCGAATCACGGCTGAAGGCAGTGGTCCCAAGGGAGTGCAAAGCAAGATGGTAAACTGGGTTGGTTTTGATGGATGAAGATCCGGCATGCAGAAATAGTTGGAAGATGAGAGGTCCGGCGGGCGGTCAAGGCGAGGCTGCCGCCCGCCGTGAAGCGAAAATACTAGGTTCTTAACCTTGCTCTGATACCATGTAAGAATTTATGTATTATTGATTGATATTTGATTGATGTATTCTTGATGTGTTGTATTACAAATCAGAAGTGGCATTATATAGGAGAGGGTTGGGTAGTAGGGAGGAGTAGGTGAGGGTAAATTGGTGGTAGGTGGAGTGTAGTAGGTGAGTGTGAATGGTAAATTCTAACACTTGGCCTCGCAAGTTCTGTTTTTGCAGACGCTAAAACTGCTAAGAAGCATTACAAAATGCTGGCACTTATGGTTCATCCCGACAAGAATAGCTCCGTTCAAGCGCAGAGTGCCTTCAAGCTGATGTCACAAAGCCTGGAAGGTTATATCTTCACAAGCCCTCAAACAGAGAAAACTAATGATAATCTATGGAATAACTCATCACAGAAAGCAAGTAAAGTAGTCTTCTTCGGAGATCGTCTTTCATGGGGAACCACCAGGGCCTCTTCTAGTCAGCCAACACCGCCATCTTGGTGGCCGTCGTTTGTAGCCAGGAGTGTCTGAAGTGCAGTTGACGGTGTAGCTATCCGAGTAAAAAAGCGGTCAGTTTCTACTGTTTCCATTGCAATAGAAAATTCATTTTCCATCTGCAAGTCACACCATCGGTGATCCGGGTTTTCTTCAACGGCGGACCATTTGGTGATAATAATAGAATTCGACTTCAGTTCCACTCATGTAAAAAATAAATAAAAATAAAAATCTTGCTTGTTTGATTATTATGTTTGAGAGGTTGTCTCATCAAAAATAATAATTTTGCATTGAAGTAATTTATATAAATGATATTTCAAAAAAAAAAAAACTAATAAAAGTGAGATCTAGCAACACAAAAAAAAAAAAAAAACTAAGAAAAAAAAAATTCCTACCATCCACACAGCCACACAAATTTTCTGCTAAACCAACTACTTCAATCAATATATAAGCCAATTCTAACCACTCAATTGGAAATTCAAAATTGGAAAACAAGTGTAGACATTATCAAACCAAATACATGTTGGAAAAAATAGATTTTGGTGACTTTAATTAAATATTAAAGTGAGTCCCAACCATCTATTGTGTTGGGTCCAGGTGGGTCTAGATACTTTGCAATGAGATCTTTACACCACAAATAGAATGGCCAAAAACCATTGAGAATTGAATGAGAAATTGCCCCATGAAGTTAGCTTCATAAAGAGTTAATGGGGGTTTGTAACTTCTGCCTTTATTGCAAAGTAATAGTGCATTAATGAGGTTTGTAACTCCTGCCTTTATTGCAGAGGTTAATTTATTGATTGATTTATTGATTCTTGATTCTGTTACAATTGATTGATTATATAGATGTAGGTTAGGTGGTGGTAGGTGAGGAGTAGGTGAGTGTAGTAGGTGAGTGTGTGGTAGGTGATGGTAAATTATACAATGTACATTAACAGTATGAAGAGTGATAACTCTGGTTCGCTTTGTGGGCCTGTGATTGATGATGTGAAGTTGCTTGGTGTTCGTTACCCACTACCTGTTTGATTAAAGTCCTAGCTCAAAACTCCAGGTTTGTGAGTTTTAGATATGTGTGTCTGTGTGTGTGGTTTTGTTTTAGTATTTGTTTTTTAGTGGAAGGAAGAGGGTTTATGATTTGGGTTACAAAGTTCTTTTATGTATGTATAAATCGTCCTGGCCTACTTTGGTCCTGAAGTCATGCGTGGAAACCATGACGGCGGTCACAAATTTGTCGAACCGGCTGCAGAGTAGGACAAATGAGGTGCAGCATTTAAATTCCCAGCTGGCTCTGCTCCAACGCATGTATAAGGATGCGCGAGCAGAGATAAGCGTGCTAAGGGCAGAAAATAAGGAGCTGAAGCGGAAGGCCACCGTGATGTTCCGATTTGGAGGGCCACCATATGCTGCAGTAGAGGAGCAGGGGGGAGTGAATGTGCTTGGTGGATTAGGAAGCACAGAGGCAGCACCGTCAAGAACTGTCCAAGACGGAGGCAAAAAGAAGAGACCGGCGGCAGAGTAGAGAAGAAAAATCTCACGGTGCCGATTTGTGTTGGTTTGGTTTTGTTTTTGTTGTGTTTTTTTTTTTTTTTTTTTTTTTTTTTTTTGTGGTGAAAGCAGGTAGCTTACAAAGCCCATACTCTTGCTAAGGCCATCTTTGCTAGTCGCGGCCCTTGTTAATATTTTCTTTTATTAATGAATTTTTTTTTTTTTTTTTTTAATGAAAAAAAAAGAAAAAAGAAAAAGAAATAAATAAAATAAAAGAAAGAAAGGGGAGTGGTGTCTGTTTGTGCCGTGAGTGAGTGTGTGTCACAAGAAAAAGAGGGATAGAGAGAGAGGGAGTGGGTGGAGTGCATGTGAAAGGCAAAGAAAAAATGGATTAAAAATAAATAAAAAAAGGGGAAATGAGTTCAAAAAGGGGCACGGGTAGTGGGAATAATAAGAATAATAATAATAAGAGAAAAAGAAAAAGGTAGACCACGTGGGTCATGTCGCCAATGTAAGATAGTGGATAGTGATGCACTAACTTTCGCAGAGGATGTAGCCAAAACCTTATTCTTCCAGCCAAGATAAAGAACCCCGTCCCTCTCTGCAAATCTGAAAGTCTCGCTGTAGTCCTTCAAGACTCGGCTAATTTCAAGACTCGGCTAATTTCCACCCTCTCTGCTCCCTCACATGCTATTATGTTTACAATGTCCCGAGCCACACAGTGCTCTTCTGCACGGATCCGCTGCTTATCATCTCTTGGACGAACGGAATATGCTTGGTGGCCTGTACCTTTGAGGAATATGCTTGGTGGCCTGCACCTTTGGAGCAGGTGGCGCCGGAGTCGGAGAGGATGAACAGTGGTCCGTCGGTGGAGATGAAGCTGCAGGTGGTGTTGGTCGAATCACGGCTGAAGGCAGTGGTCCCAAGGGAGTGCAAAGCAAGATGGTAACTGGGTTGGTTTTGATGGATGAAGATCCGGCATGCAGAAATAGTTGGAAGATGAGAGGTCCGGCGGGCGGCCAAGGCGAGGCTGCCGCCCGCCG